TGTGTCTTTCAATAAAAATAAAAAATTAGTAATAAAAAGGGCATTACAAAATAATAATAAAAATTTCTATTTCCTGACTTTGTGTTTACGATCTTCCTTGTTTCCTTCAATAGAATCGTGACAGTAGTTTCTTAATAAATAAAAACTTCATAATTTTTATGACTTTTATTGCTTATCCAGATCAAGAAATCTTTTGTTACTGTGACGATAGTATTATCCTGCACTTCTTAGAGATTAAGCATTGATTTCTCCAAATTAAACTACACATACCACACAATCTTATGCCAAACACCCCCCACCCCACTACCCCCAAATATTCAGAGTCAAACTGTCCAAATGTTATTTGTTTAGGTGACCGTTTCGGCTTTAAATGTACCTGATACACCCCATATATCAGCTCTGGAGAACATCAGTTACACTGACATTTTTCGTAACCATGCCGACACCACAAGTCAACAATGGCACCTGACAGCCAGCCTGATACAGGTGAGATGTTACCAGTAAGGATAACATGACAGGACAATGCGAAGTGATCCCCGTTATGCCTCCATATGACCCCTGACCTGACCTCTGACCTGTACCAACCACCACATGCTGTCCAACAGTCTTGTTAATGGAGGCTGCTACCATGGTCCGAGAGGGATACACTGTCAGTATCCTGTCAACACTATAATCTTGTTTACCGTTCAAATACAACTAATTCGTGTTTCATTTGTTCCTGACACTGAGTGTGGTTCAAAATAGTAACTGTTTTGGCTGCTGTTTGAAATTAGTGGGGAAATTCTATTGTAATATGAGAAACAAAATCATTATTATTTAACACCAGACAGAATCATTTTGTTAACAATGGTTAAGTCTATGACTGGCATTCAGAATTTGGAAGAACTTGGAGACAAGAAACCCTTATTGACAACTTTGTATTGTTTGAGAAAAAACGTTCAGGGCTACTTCTTGTCCCTTCATCAGTTGATGAATGAGTAGATGCATGAAGGGTAAAAATGTAGCCCTGAAAACATTATTACAAACAATAAAAAGGTTATTTATAAACATTTCAAGTCTTCAAATCAATTTCATGTACTGGGTATTATGGAGTTTCTCATCTCTCAGAGGCAAGGGAGTTAACTGTCTGTAAGAGTCCAGTTTCCACCCTTTACCGAACTAGGCTGGAATTACTGGGCTCAATCGTAGCGCCACCAGTGGCTATTACAAGTCATGTCCCTTCCATGTCCATCCTACATTGTCCTATTGACCAATCTGATTCCACCTTTTATATCACTTGCATTTGCTTCAAACAAAATGGTGGCGGCCTGTCAAGGCATCAGATCATTAATCACAATCTATATTGTAATAAAACTAGTCTTACTTCACAAAGTACATCAAATCACATGATCACCTTGATAACAGATATGAAAAATTTGGAAAATATCTGTTGACGCCGAGTTGGCGGTATACATGCTCTACAAATCCTGCAAACGACCAAAATCTGCACGACAGTTGACAAACCAGATGTCGATTTCATTACGCCATTTTGATTGGACTGCACAAAGTACAGCTAAAATATAACTCCATAATTCCAGCCTAGTTTGGAAAGGGTGGAAACTGGACTTTTACAGTCAGTTAACTCCCTTGTCTCAGGAAGATGGGATTTTCTGATCAAAATGCCAAGCGCCAAAACAAATAAAATTGTCAGGGTTGATTTGAGGTTTAATTTTCAACAAAACTCATAAAATCAAAGTTTGGACAAAAATACTTACTAAAATATATATTTTCACCATTTTTAATATCTTATTTTTTTACTTTTTCAAAGGTGAGGGTCATCTGTAAAGGAGGTAAATAACTTGGATTTGGCCTAATGTTTATTAAGATCTATTCATTGAAATATTAATAAGTGGAAATGTAAAAAATAAAATCAGAAACACTATTTCACTCACGAGGTAATCTGAATAACAAACTAAAGAACAGGCAAAAATGTTTGGTTTGGACAAGAGAAAAATTGTGCCGGTAGCAAAGACTGACAAGTGTTAAAGGGGAAGTGTACACGCAAAAATCACTTTCTTTCTTTTTCTAAACAAAACGCAATTTTAGAATTAATTAGTATCTGTGTTTGAAAATATACACTCATTTTTTTCACAGTGAACGTAGGAATCTCACAATAGTGTGAAAATGATATGCCGTTGTGAGGCCTTCGTTTTTCGAGCTAAACAGGCCTGAGTTATCCCCCTTAGATTATGACGTAATTGGTGCCAATTCAACTGGGTCCCTGTCTATTCTCAACGCAAAAGATATCAAGTACCAGTTTGCGGTAAAACAACATGGCCTACGACACACTCCGGCGCAGTGGTGACTCAGCATAACACTATGCTGGCTGGCATCTGAGACGCTAGAATCACATACCTGGACCTACACCACGTGAAGCGGCTCTAACAAAGCATGATGACGTCATGATGTTTATCAATTGGCACCAATGACGTCATATTGCAAGGGGCATAAGCCATGGTGTTTTTGTTGTGGAAATAGAACACTTGGTAAATGTGAAAAATATAAATCGTTTTAATGCGAAAAATATGTTAATTAATTGTGATATTTTTATATTTTTGTCTATGACACTTCTATGTTAACACTTTTAATGTGGAAAAAGTACAAGAAAAATAGGTTCATTTCCGTGTGAACTTGCCCTTTAAGGAAATGTTTTTGGGGGTCATGGAAAAGGGTCCTGTATTAGAAAACAGTAGTGGTGACATGATTACAGTAAGTTCATGTTAAATTACATGAAGCAGTAAAGTGCTTTTATCCCATTTTGTTAAAGGAATCCACAACCCCTTAAAATACACTCTTACAGTGGATGGTTGGCTTAGCCATGTTAACCACATCTTGCTGTCTAATATTATACACATCAGTCAGATTTCTCAGCTTCAGCATCACAACTCGCTGCTGCTGAAACACAATCTTGAACCAGTGATACCGTTACAATAAGACACACCTGTAATCTACCAGACATAAGTACATACAATTACCTGTGTCCATCACTATAATTAGAGTACCTGTGTGATTCACTATGTGAGTACTTGTAGGATTAGGTAAATAGAGGTCACCAGCTGTGACAGTTCACACCTTAACTATATATGGATGTCATCGTATATTGTGATATTGATGTATCAGTAATGTTTAAAGTCAATGCTGTATCAGTACAAATTTATGAATATTGATACTAAATTAATAGACCCCTGAAGATCTGGGGTAGAATAGGTCTTCAGCAACCCATGCTTGCCGTAAAAGGCGACTATGCTTGTCGTAAGAGGCAACTAACGGGATCGGGTAGTCAGACTCGCTGACTTGGTTGAAGCAGGTCATTGTATCCCAATTGTGTGGATCGATGCTCATGGTATCAATCACTGGATTGTCTGGTCCAGACTTAATTATATACAGACTGTCGTCATATAGCTGGAATACTGCTGAGTGCGGCATTAAACAAACAAACAAAATTAATAATATACAGCCATAGAAGTGTTAACATTTATTATGATAGCCATAGTTCAGATGGACAATGAAAATTCAATCTTAAACATTTAATCAATCAGTGTTCATATTTAATATTAAGATGATAAATTGAAGGACTAGATAGGAAAATGTTATTTATACACATACAGAATAACTAATTTTATTATTATTAATATGTCATGATACTTTTGCGTCATTATATCGATACTATCCTTTCCAATCAATGACACCCCTAATCTCAACTATTCTCAGGTATTTCATAGGACAGCTACAGTTACAATTGTCCGGGTGTACTTTAAGTGTGGAAGAATTATGACTGGAGCTGTTGGGAAACTGAAATGCCAAATACAACAAAAATATGTTCCTACCCAGCTTTCTTTTAAAAAAGTGCTTAGAAACTAGCTTTTTGTGTGGCTTAACTCAAATGTTTACAATCATAAAAAGTAATTCATAACTCCTCCAAACAAAATATGTGTTTAAAATTCAATAAAAGATAAAACCCCAAAATAGAAAATTTATCACCAGGCATCCAATTTTCAGCATTTTTTAATGACCCCAGCAAGCATGACCTGGTTCAAACTGTTCCTGGCTGTTCCTGATAAAATGAGCCACTTTTATCTGGTGAAGTGTACAGCTTAATCAGTATCAATTATATATTATCGCTGTTACAAAAATAACTGAACAACGTTTTCTCATTGACTTCTCTCAGAATTCCTAGTGGAATTTCCTGTTCCTTCTATACACACCACTCCTCTGCATAGTTTCTGCTGCAGAAGATTGTTGTGGTATTTATTCCAATACTACAGCAACCTGTTGTTCAAAGGCAATCTATTCAGCAACCACCTGGTATATAAATGCATCTATTCCTAGCATAAACAATGTTGCTCATGTTTGAACAAACTATCCATGTGAAATGTCATCCTTACATAGTGTTAGGCTTGTAAACCGTTATCCCACCTATTATCATGCCATAACTACCCAATATGTGTCGGCAGCTCTTGATTGTGCAGCCCTATATCACATTACACAGTTGATGTCTATATCAATTCGTGAGTACTTCGCGTCGACAGTAGTATATTGCTGTCAATCAAGTACATATAGCAATCAGCTGGTCCGTCTGTTTAGTGGGTGATATGAAATATAAAAACATTATTAGCTTTGCCGTGAGGCAAGTTCGTGTTACAGGTATTTTGAGCACGCGCTTGGCTTACCCATATATAGCTAGCGATTCCTTACTACAGGCAGATAATTGGCCGAAGCGGGACCTCGCTCTCAACGAACTATCTAACGAACACCATCAAAGTTAGCAGCTGTACCGTAAGAGAAAAACACGGACGATTCATCATAACATTATTTAGTTCAAATAAGTCACACCTCCGATTTTTATCCTGAATAATGTTATACATACACGTATTAGTACCGTGTACTTTTTCACAGATAACTGTCATCCACCGGCAGACAAAATAGATGAGTCTCGGATGTGTCAATGTATATGTACTTACAACTTGCACTGAGAGAGGGGTGCTAAAGTCCGTCCCACCCTGCAAACGGAATCCCCAGGGGGTACCGGAATCTGGACGGCCCAGTTGGACCGTCATTGTCTCAGCTGGCTGAAATTCGATGTTACTCATGACGACGTCTGTGACAACGGTAGCGGGTCCGACGTAAGTACTCGAAGTCGATGGGCCACTTCGCAGCTTTATCCAACTCCTCGCCAGTGAGGGGACGGCTTCGGTAGAAACAAACTTTTGCACACGGGCCTCTAGGATGCGTCAGTAGGCCGCGGGAGAAGTGGGTGTGACCGACTGTGACAAGTTTGGGGCTGCGGAAATAGTTGAAACGGTTGTAATTAGGCCCGTGTTACTGACCTATTAGGTAGCCGATTTTACTTGGGGATTATTTGTATTTCGGGGGTGGCTAGGGTCACACGCTAAACTTGTAACGCCTGTGTAACGAAACCCGTGTAACGGCATCTCGTTTCAAATCAGTCTGCGTCATACATTCAGGTGTGGTTTAAAAGAAAGTCTCATATTTGATTGAAAGAAGTCATGTCAGGTTATTGTAAATCATGTTAATTGTATAACTTTGGAGCTTAACGTTTTTTTGCTAAATTAAACAACAATATACATTTCATTAACGTTTGCTGTAATTTTTAAACAAGAAATGTTTTGAGAGAAATTCGTAGCTATTAACATTAGCTATTAGCGATAGATTTGATCATTTAGTCCATTTCTTTTAATAAAGAAATTTAGATTTGCTTTCAAGTTTTCACTTCGGGGCATGTGTCATCAAAAGTGTAAAAAGTTTCTATTTTGTATTGACTCCCAATTTTTTAGGATTGTAGAAAACGTCGAACTAGCATAAGCGATGGCTTTGAAATCTCTGTACAGAAGATAAGTTTCCTTTTATGTTAGGAAGTCATATAATATCCACGTCTTTCGGTGTGGGATATAATTTATGCCTAAAACGTGCTACACCTAACGAACTATATTATCATCGGTCATATAAGAGTTGGCACTGATGGAAATATCTAAAAATATCGCAATAGGTATAGTATTGTAAAAGTGCGGTACGGCATACAGTGAAACCTCATTAATCCGGACCACACCACCGAGTGGCTTATCTTGTAAGAGAGATATTATATATATAGCTAAACATCACTCCGTATATATAGTGATGAGCTGTATATATAAACATTTGTCTGTCCACATGAACAACTTAGAACTGTGATATATGAGAGTTCGAATTAGATCATGGGACGATTTTCTTACAAAGGACTTGTCCGGATTAACAATGTTTACTGTGTATAAGTTTATGTTTGGACGTAAATTCTTCCGTTTGTACAAAGAGGCTTAGCCACTTAAACGGCGAATCAATGTCTAGATACCCCTGCCGATACATTAAAGCTACAACTGAAAACAATGTTTTTTTCATATATAACATAACTTGATTGAGACACTATAGGTTTACCTCAAAAGCTTCCCACGCAAACACAATGTCATTACTTTCACAAACAGGCGCATTAAATGATGGTATTATTATCAGCTTCCTTATCATGGCTCGATACAGAAGGAAGAGCCAAACTTTATAAACCCATAAAATAAGTTGTTAGTTGTAATTCGTTGTTAAATACAATGTTTGGTCATATATTCAATCAGGACTTTCCTTTTGTATATTCATGAGAACTTGTCAGTAAAAAAACTGTAATAAAAATAACGCCATGTTGTCCCTATGAATACACAAATCTGACGATAAAATAATAACTGTCTGTCTAAAATTACAACATATATCGATATGTGGTGGCATGCTATTTTAGATAATCGTTTTCAGGGTCTCTTTTGTAACAGGATTTAACATTCGAAAATTAATTTGAATTCATGATAAAATGAAACGTTTGAGCTACACACTGCATTAATTCTGGCAAACCACGGATACACACCAAATCCAGACACGCCAAATTGACAAAATCCGATGTACGTAGGGGTGAGTGGGTGTTAAAATCTGGTCTGAATTATTTCTTCCGTGGAGATTGTACGGACGCTTCATTCGTTTCGCATACCACGCGTGTTCTAGCTGTCTACGAGCGAGGTTTCAACAACATTGACTGTGTGGTATGATGAAACGCAGCAGAAATGACAGGCTATGAACAATCAAGTGAACTTTAATCCTTTTCTGCCCAATCAACATCCCGCGCATATATACATGATTTTAATCTTTAAGAAAGCATTTTACAGCATGTGTTCTTAATTTTTAAGTTAAATATGCATAAATATTAATAGATTCTACAAAAAGTAAAAAGAAAAAACTATACACTTGCTTTGTAGATTTTCAAAAGGCCTTTGATTCAGTTGACAGATCACTACTCCTAACAAAGATATTATCAAATAAAATCTCAGGAAACATATTTAAAATAATATCATCACTATACAGTGATATCTCTTATAAAGTGAAAACTGACAAGGGCGTTTCACAATCCTTTAAATCCAACATTGGGGTACGACAAGGGTGCATTTTGTCTCCCACATTATTTAATATATTCCTCAATGACCTTCCACATTATATCAAATCTGATAGCAATAATAAAACACTCAATGGTTTCAACATTTGTCATTTGTTGTTTGCCGATGATTTAGTTCTATTTGCCGATTCCCCCCAAAAGCTACAAGTGTTACTTGATGGACTAAAGGTATTTTGTGCCACAAATAACCTAAAGATTAATAGTGATAAAACAAATGTTGTAGTGTTTGGACAATCAATTAAAACAGAAGAAAAGAATACTTGGACCATAGGTGATACAAAAATACTAGTAACAGATAGTTATAACTATTTAGGAATACGCTTCGAAGCAAATGGTAAACTTTAAAACAGTGCTAAACCTCTCTTGAAAAAAGGCCTAGGGGCCTACCACAAGCTTCAGTCCACCATTTTTAACCAAGATATACCAATAGCTCTTGCTTGCAAACTATTTAAAACATTAATCGAGCCAGTAATTTTATATAATAGTGAAATCTGGGGTGTAGAATCAATCCTTCTGAACAACTTTGATTCATTTATCCCCGAAAAACTGCAGCTCAAATTTTGTAAATCCATATTAGGTGTCAACAAAACAACACATAACTGGGCAAGCCGAGCTGAACTAGGACTCTACCCCCTTATCTACACAGTATTAATCAAAATAGAAATTTTTTATCACCATGTCTGTTCTTCCAAAAACATAATACTTCAGAACGCTTTTACAGAAAGTACATATTTGGTGAAAAAACGATTAGGATGGGTATACCAGCTGAATCTATTCTTAGGAAAACACAATTTGAGTATTTCAGCTTTCCTATCACCAATATTCAAAGAGAAAATCAAATCTAAATTCAACTCCCTCTTCAAGGAATCTCTTCAAGATGTAAATACAACAAGAGGCACAGGAAACAAACTTAGGACATATAGGATAGTTAAAAATGAAATAAAATTAGAACCCTATCTCAGTCACTGTAAAGTAAAAAAATATCGAGTCCACTTTTCTAAACTAAGATTAAGTAACCATAAATTAAATATTGAACTTGGAAGACACACAAAGCCACCAACCCCACTACATCAGAGGCTATGTTCTACATGTTCAATCATTGATAACGAAAAACATTACTTACTTCACTGCATTAAACACACTCGAGAAAGAAATATACTCTTTGAAAAACTATCCAGACAAAATGTAAATGTAAATGTTCACAGTCATGAAGACAAATTATTTCAATACATCCTATCAAATAATGAAGCAGTCAATATCAACTGCATTTGTTTCCACATCTATAATTTCAAACAATAAATACCCTTTCATAATCAACCGTTGACATTTTATGTATAAAAATATATAATATTGATTATTTTGTTTCTGTATGTGTCTACAGGAATGTAAATTATGTATGTCTGTATATATGTATATATAAATCATAATGTCTTGTCTTTTAAAATTGCATCTGTCCCGTAATGGAACGTTTCTGCAATAAATATTATCTTATCTTATCTTATCTATGCACAAAAATCCGAGAAATAAAGCCTCATACCTCTGCACGCTTTGAATGTTATAACTCACGTAAGCAGCAGCTAAGATTATTTTTCGTTTTCCTGATTTGTCTGTGCCGAATTGCCAAGACGCATTAAAGTGACATAACCCCCCCCCCCCTAAAATAATGGCATGGTTTATTGATTGGAATAGAGTAATAATTGTGAAATGTGTTATTTGAAAAAGGAGATAATCATGTGTACAAATGTCTTTATTGCATGCTAATTAAAACCAACCACTTAACTATAAAATGGCTACTAAGAATAATACTTTGTCTATGCTTAGTTAAATCTACTTAGTTTTCAAAGATATGTTGAACACTTTACTTTATAAAAAACAGGGTGTAATTGTTTTGGTGTGCCATAAATATGAACAAATGTAGGCCTACTGCATACACATATTACACAGTTCCAGTTAAAAGAATTGGAATTGTCGACACTGTGCTGTTGCTGGCACGAAGTGTGTATTTGGTCCGGTTATGACAGTCCGGCTTGATGAAGTCGAGGACGAAATGTCGTCGGCAATGTTCCATCATAAACTGATGCATTGTGCCAACCTGTTCACTGATAATTCGTTTATCGGGAAAATGTGAATATCTTTCGTGTACCGGAAAGTATGTAACAAGTAAACTCTCGCGTAATTAATTCGTATCTAATGATCTGAATGTTTCAGAGGTTATTTGTTAAAATCCGGAAGAATATATTCGAGATAATATTTATGTTTTATTGGCTAGTTGTGTAAACTACTGATCGGTTTAACATTGTAATGTGTTAGTTATTGAACAGAGCTAATCAAAATTAATAATAAAGTTCTTATAAAACAGACAATAGAATTTGCAAAGACATTTTACAAGCGTTATGAAAAATAATCTTTTGACTTTGACATCAGTTGCAATATTATGACTTCCCATGGCACAGAGCTAGTTTCTTTTGATTGATCAGGTATACTGGAATTGATTTAGCATTTATATCTCACTGTTTAAATATTACATCAATTCGCAAGACCAGCAACCTTGTCCAATGAATTATTTTTTTTCGGTGAAAATCAATAAGAAGTGTAATGTGTTCATCCCAAATCCTGTGTGGATTCCTGGTAAGAATTTGATTTGTCCTCCGCAACCTATGCTGGACATAGTAAGAGGTGACTAAACAATTGGTTAGTCAGACTTGGTGACTTGGAACTTTGATGATGTGATTGTTGGTCGCAATATTGATGAAGGGAGTGTCGTGTCCAGACCTGATTATGTACAGGCCGTGGTCATATAGCTGGAATATTGCTAAGTGTGGCGTTAACACCCCACCCCACAGCCCCTCCAAATATAAACCAAAAAAAACAACCAAACAAATGGAAATCCTAAATTACTTGATGTCATAAGCTGCATCCATGACTGTAATATGTTTCAGTGCTTATTAATTTGTTAATTCTTTGACAGATCCATTTGCCTGTAACACCACTGATCTTGCCAAGAGGAATGTTGTCAACGTCATCATGTATATGTGGGAAAATACTCCTCCGCCTCCTGCAGCATAACTCAGCAGTTTCCACGGAAACAGTATACCGTACAACTCAAGTGATATCAAAAGTGTGTGATAAGTCTCTCACAATGAGAACAATACATTCATCCTCAGGTAATGCAAATAAAAATGATGATCAAGCTGTGATACAAACTAAAGCTGTTGATGCAACTGTCGGCACGGAATCCAAGTTGCTGGACATGTCGGAGCCCACCCTCAAGACTCAGGGCGTGATACCAGGGAAGGGTCCCCCCCCTGAACCTCCCATTGACTGCTGCATGAGTGGATGTGTAAATTGTGTGTGGATAGCGTATGCGGAATCTCTGAAGGACTATTACAGTGATGGCGGGAAGTCAGCTCGAGAAGCCTTGGAGCAGATTGAGAACCCTTCTCTTAAAATGTTTGTCAAACTAGAGATGGGATTATTATGATGCTATTTGATATTGCCAAAAGTTATGACCGTATTCGACGTAATAAAATTAGAAATAGGGGGCACTTATTAGAATATAATTTTGGTGAAAAAAACACCAGAGTTGAAAGATTGTAAATTTCGTGGTTTATGCCGACAGGCTGAAATTATACAAAAGAAAAGTCTGTGTGTATTATACACAACAAACATATTTTCCAGAATTTAATTGGCCGTAATTAAGGGTGCATATAACACATGAGTGTGTATTATACACAAATAAGTAAGTCTTGTGTACATTGATCAATCGGAAGGGGTGCCAATTGGGATTGTTCACCAGCCAATATATATGCAAATATTGCAGTGGGCGCTTATTAGAGCGGGTAGTTAGAATCAGTTTGGAAATGTAATGGGAGCTATGTATTATACCCATGCCTGCCAACTTTGGACCATGTTATTGTTCAGTATATTCATCTCAATGCTATTATGATATGTGACCTTGAGTCATTGGCTACTAGAGTTTTGTTTCAACTCTCTTGTCACTAACGCATCTTCCCGAGGCAAGGGTGTTAACTGTCTATAACAGTCCAGTTTCCACCTTTACCAAAGTAAGCTGGATTTCTGGAGTTCTATGCCTAATCCAATCAAAATTGTGTTACGAACCAAACATCCAGTTTGAAAATGTGGATTTCAATGTGCAGGTTTCAGTCAACTGCAGGATTTTCAAAGCATGTGAACTTTCAATTGGGCGTCGACAGATATTTTAAAAATCTTTTGATGTTTTTTAATCAAGGTGATTTGATGCTCTTCACGGTTAAGACCCATTTTATTACAATATAGATCTTGATTATCGATCAGATCGTCTTGACTGGTCACAGCCTTTTTGTTTGAAACAAATGCAGGTGATATGAGAGATGGAATCTGATTTGTCAATACGAGGGACATAGAAGGGACATAACTCGTAATAGCCACTGGTGGCACTGGTGGTTTCTATCAAGCCTAGAAATTCCAGCCTAGTTCGGCAAGGGTGGAAACTAGATTTAATACTCTGTTAAGTCCCTTGCATCAGGGAGATGCACTAACTAGGCACAGAATTTCTCTTGCTTATGAGTGTAATTTGATTGAATGGTTATTTTTGCTTCATGTAATTCAGCGTCCTTAAAATAAAGCTCTGGCGGTGAATGGGTCTATTATCATAATAGAATGGAGATATAATATCCTACATAATTGAAGATAATTTTGGAAAGGACAAATTTAGAAGTCCCTTTATCCCATTGGTTATGCAGTGAGTGAGTGAGTTGGGTTTAACACCGCTTTTAACAGTATTCCAGTTATATCACACTGTGGCAGCTTAATGTGGGAGGAAAGCCCAAAGTGATGCAGGTGTCAGACGTTTACCACTTTGGTGACACCCACAAGCACGGGTATGGTGCTGACAAACGTAGAAACATAATTAGGGCACTCCACACCTAGCAATGCTGAAAGGGAAGGTTTTAGAGATGACGGATATTAAAATTGTCACATATTTTGGATCTGACAAGGCTCACTGGACAGAGCCACACTATAATGTGCTCTGTTTAAGTGACCAACTTTATATGTACCTGGTATATGGTTCTTGCTGAAAACATTAACGTGAGATGTTGCCTTTCGAAATACTCTACACAGTAATTACTTTATAGAATTCTTTCAGGATTTATTTATTTTGTTATATGTTGGTAAATTTTTGAACAATTTGCATCTTTGTTGACACCTCTGTTAATAGAAAGACATCTTTGTTTTGTGTCTTTTGATAGCTCTGTATATGTGTTAATTTGTTATTGTTCACAAAAAATAACATTTTCATACAATAAATGTTGTTGACAAAGGTGTTTTGTGTAGCAGGCCATCTGTCTTCTTTAACAGCATCAGACTCTTCCTAGAGAAGAAGAACATCATGATCATATGATGTGACAATTGATCAAACGGACCCCTGAAGATCTGGGGTAGAATAGGTCTTCAGCAAACCATGCTTGCTGTAAAGGCGACTATGCTTGTTGTAAGAGGGATCGGGTGGTCAGGCTTGCTGACTTGGTTGATGCATGTCATCAATCCCAATTGCGTGGATTGATGCTCATGACGTCAATTACTGAATTGTCTGGTCCAGCCTTGATTATATACAGAATATAGCTGGAATATTGCCAAGTGCGGCGTTAAACAACAAACAAACAAAATCGATCAAACTATGTATTGATGCAGTCAACATTTTGTTTAAAGCAAGTGCAAGGAGAGGTGGAATCTGATTGGGCAGTAGAGGGACATAGAAGGGACAACTCGTAATAGTTATTGGTGGCGCTACCGTTGGGCCTTGGAATTCCAGCCTAGTTCGGCAAGGGTGGAAACTAGACTTTTACAGTCAGTTACCTCCCTTACCTCTTATCACTAAAACAGCACAGGGTATCTCTTGTTTGTGTGAGTGCTTTGATTGGACTTCTAGTTTCAGTGTGATGTCAGGAGGATCACAACATAGCTATGACCTCAGATATAGGGACAGGGTATAAGTCATTATAGAATGGAGAAACAATACCCTAGATTATCAAGGACACATACACCCAGGATTTTTAAAAAGGGAGGTGGACACTTAGTGAACGAAACATGGACACAGGCTGACACAATAGGTGTCTGAAAAAGGGGTTCTCAGACTTAGCATCCTTCATCTGGTTCTGTCAGCATCACTGGTCTCTGAACTCAGTGTGTCTAATAGCCTACCAGTACTAAACCTGGGAAGGTGGAGTTATATTGACCTAAGGTGGACTTTGATGTTGACTAAACCCAGAAACCATTTGCTTGTGGATAGTTAGGCTTCTTATCACGATACAACTTAATAGTAAACTTTTGCAGTGATATCGCGATTGTGGTTTGAAACGAACGACTTCTTTTCTTCAAATTATAGTTGCATATCAATCATGTTTCTTAACTTTGGGCCCCATGAAGATCCGGGGTTGAATAGGTCTTCCGCAACCCATGCTTGCAGTAAGAGGTGGCTATGCTTGCCATAAAAGGCGACTATGCTTGTGGTAAGAGGCGACTAATGGGATCGAGTTGTCAGGCTCGCTGACTTGGTTGATGAATATCATCGTATCCCAATTGCATAGATCGATGCTAATGATGTCAACCACTGGATTGTCTGGTCCAGACTTGATTATTTACAGACTGCCGTCATATAGCTGGAATAATGCCGAGTGAGGCATTATTATATACAACATACAAACAAACAAACCAAAAAACTTAACTTTGGGGGAAGCAGATCTAAGTAATACATGAAGCAATTCTGTACCAGCACGAAATCTGTGAATTCAAGGTTGAATAAATGTCACAAGATTGATAACAAAGTCTGTTTTGGATTTGGACCAATATTGGCTTGACTTGGATCAGGTTCAAATTGATGAACATTCCATTATGATACAGTAAACTCACCATGTCAGAAGAATGTCCCAGGTTCATTACAGCAATGCTTTCATGCAACTCCACTTTATGCCAGTGCTCTCTCTTCATGTACATGGGGCGGTCGGGTAGCCTAGTGGTTAAAGCGTTCGCTCGTCACGCTGAAGACCCGGGTTCGAGTCCCGACATGGGTACAATGTGTGAAGCCAATTTCTGGTGTCCCCTTTGTGATATTGCTGGAATATTGCTAAAAGCGGCGTAAAACCATACTCACTCACTCACTCACTCATGTACATGTAGTTCAGTAAACATGTATAGTATCAAGACTCAGAGAGACCATTTCAAAGACTTCCGTGACAGTGTACAATACATACTACAGTATGTATACAATGTATACTGTATATACATTTCTCTGCAAGAAAAGTTAACAACCTGCACTATGAAATAGAATTAGCATCTTTTCCCACTTAAATGATTGACCTAAACAACTGCACAAATTAAAATTTATTCAGTAACTGATGTAGAAAATTGATTAAAGATGAAAGTCTTTTCACCCGCTGGGCAAAGACTTCTGATCAACATTTTTGAAGATTGATAACCCATTCAAAAGCCTATATATTATTGCAATCTTTAATATACTGTAGTGCTGGGATGGCTAACCTCGGGTACCAGGTCTGGTGGATCCTGAGTAGGACCCTGGTACCCACAGGACTTCTCTGACCTATGATTAGTCACATGAGATATTGTATAAAGTAACAATGTAACATTTTGTGATAATATAAAAAAAGAGTTCATGGTTACATCACCCTGCACAGTTTCATAAAAAAATATGGTATCTAAGTATGATTTGAATATGAAGAATGTTTTCTACAAATGTAATAGTGAAGGCTGAGTAGATTCAGGTAATAAGGTAGTAAATTTGGACTCATTCTCGCCCTAATGTAGTGTATGTAAAACTCTATGGTTCGTCATTCAAATCGTATTTTGAAGTAAGGTTGGAAAGATGTCATAGCTGAAGATTGTCAAAATACAACAGTGGTTTTCTAAGACAGTGGTTGTGATCAGTGCATCACGATTTAGAAATGATGGGTAATAAAGAATTATTATATCGCTCTTGCTCGTTTTGTAAAATCAGTATGACACACGTTCATTTAATAATCTCTATGTATCATTGTACATTCCAGGTTGAAACATGTCCCAAGCAACCTTGGCTCTTTCTTTGATTGATTACATTCACCATGTACTAGTATATCGTCCTTCAAAACATTTATGCTTCATGTGAATCACATCTGTCAACAGTTAGTGTTCCTTGAACAGTTAGTGCACAAAAATGATGTTTACAAAATTCGTCCAACCTCATATTTTTAATTTTTTTTTATGGAAATCAAATAATTTATTTATTGTGATCCTGTCATCACTATATTATAACTTGTATTAATTTTACAAAAACTTTCAGTTAAAAGTTGTATATAAAAGTTTATTCGTTATATTTGAAAAGATTATGGTATTATATGGCAGGTGAATAAATTATATCTTTGAGAGCCAATGTAAACGTCTAAAATTGTATCATAAACACTCGAAAGTATAGATGTTCTTCGTGAATCGAACCCCTAAAAAATAATACATATGTCAAAATATAAGGACATGCACGCTTAGAGTGATGTCCCTTGTCGGTTGCTATGGGACGACGACACTTCCGTCGATGAAAATTAGGCTCGATAGAGTTTCCCTTTTCACGTGTAATTTGTAAACATAAGTGCAGCTAGTTATTTGATGTTTTTATATGTTATCAAGTAAGATACATATTGATTTAGTGGTTGTAATAAGAATATTTCTGGAGCCTAATCGGAGCAAGTAACCAAACATTCTTCAAGCCACTTGGCTAACAAGATGTCAGTCATCACAAGAGTTCCAGAGCCGAATATTTGGCACGAAATCTGCAAAGGTACAGTTATGTTTCTTTACCTGTCCTAGTACTTTTCCGATCACGATACCCAATGTATCTTGGGCTAATATATCATCAAAAGAAATTAGGGTAAAAGTTATTCTCATCAAAATGTTATTGATGATGATGAAAGAAGTGTTTGATGTCGCCTCGGAAAGAAATAGCCTAGCCTGCGCCTATGTATTGCTCATGACGAGTTCTCGAACAGATAGCCTAACGGTTCAGGTGCAGATTCAGCTAAATTGACGTGCATCCAAATTTACTCTAAAAAAAACGCATTCAGATTTAATAATTCTCATGTCGGATGGATGATGCATCTCTTGGCTTGGGAATTTTGGGTGGAAAAATTGTTTTAAAAATATCTGAGCACATCTAGGCTAACAGCTAATATTTACTTTAATGTATTGTTTAGATAAATGATTCCAGAATGGGAAATACTTACTTCATGTTTTATACCTATTACTATATTTATGTCTATCACTATAAAGCCATAGTATGAAGTCGTGGTGCCATTTCTGCTAGTTCCAAGTTTAACTTTATGAAGAAAGTGTAATCCCAAATATAGCTTGTTATATTACCAGATCTTGTTGTCTGTGACCCACAGCCAAAGACCAAATATTGACCTGAGTTAATGAGATAATCCTTGTCCAGTTAACAGCCATGACGATAAACACGACATTTAGAAATGTAGTCGTGACAACCTGAATTGACTATGCACACATATGTAGTCAGTGGCACCAGGAAGTGTATTTGTTGAATATTGCTACCATATTTATTTTCAGAAATAGCAGGACAAAGACCTCCTTTCAGAGAAGAAGACACATCCTCCGTGCTTACAGATTACAAAGACTATGATCCTGCACTTCATCACCCAGTCTTTTTTGGAAAGATGCATGAGAGAATTGAGTCGGATGCTGACCCATTTGCAGAGATTGATGTAGCCAAGAGTCATCCATCCTGCGTGGGCTACTCTTTCACGCAGAAACCACCGAAATCACCTTCACCACCACCTCCTCCACCCCCAAACAAAGACACTTGTATGTTAAATTGTTTTATCATATTTGGTCATACTGTCACACACAGTCATAGATCTAGAGGTCCCTTAGGCATGCCAGAATCCATCTTCCCAGGGCAAGGGAGTATAACTGACTTTAGAAGTCCAGATTCCACTCTTGCCAAACTCTGCTGGAATTTCTGGGTGCGCGACCGGTGGTGATTACGAGTTATGTCCCTCCTGTTCACCAATTAGATTCCATCTCTCATATCACTTGCATTAACTCCAAACAAAATGACGGCACCTATAATCAAGACAATCTGATCGATAGTCAAGATCCTTATTGTAATAAAATGGGTTCCCACCTTGAGAAGTGCATCAAATCACTTCAGGACCTTGATTAAAAACATGAAAAGATTTGGAAAATATCTGTCAACGTAGAGTTGACGGCACACAGGTTCTGCAAATCCTGCAATTGACCGGAATCTCCATGTTCTTAGGAACCAAATTTCAATTTCGTTAACAAGATTTGGATTGTACAATGCATAGGCTAGTTAGTCCAGCCAAAATATAACTCCATAATTCCAGCCTAGTTTGGCAAGGGTGGAAACTGGACTTTTACAGTTAGTTAACTCCCTTGCCTCAGGAAGATGGCCAGAATCCTATGACCATGGGTTTGAACCCCAGGTAAGCCCTGATCAGGATGTCAGCAACATACTTGTGCTCATATAAAGTGGAAACGTATATAAGACCTGCATCATTTTGGGCTTTCCTCCACATTAAGCTGACACACTGAATACTGTTCAAAGTAGAAATAAGACACTCTAGATCTAGATAGATTTCAACAATGACTGTTTTGTACTTGTTGTGTACATAGATTGTTTGGACAGATGACAACTTCTCAGCAGAATGTTGCTTGCTGATTGTGTATCTTGGTCAAACTTACATTAGAGGCTGTGGTATTCCTCGAAATGGGATTAAACTTGGGTGCAGGCATAATTTCAGTATCATTAAAATTATATCTATTTTTCTAAGATGATAGACCATCTCTGTGGTCTAGTGGTAGAGCATCTGCCCGGAGAGTGGAAGATTGGGGGTTTGAATGTGGTTCTTGTTGTTACCCTGCCTGGTGTTCATCATTAAGGGGCTAAAACAAGCCATGGTCAGTATTCTGTGTCTAAGTGGGGCATGGTATCCCAGTGGGCTAGCACTATAAAATCAGCATTAGTCCAGACTAGTACAAGCAGCCACACACATACACACTTGCATTTATGTTGCTATATCAGTGTAATAATCTTGGAAGACATCGTGAAAACCCATTTCACCTCACCTCTCAGATGAAACCTCTCTGTATGAAGATCCTACAAACCATCCATTGGATGTGGTGTCAGGTGAATTTTCTAATCAGCATCAAGGCTTCTTAATTTCATAGAACAACTGAGTGAAGCATTGAGAGCAGTATACCATATATCGCTGTCTTTAAAGCGACCCCACGTATAAGGCGACCAGCCTGTCCAAGCCTTTAAAATCGATGCTAATTTATACACCCCGCCTATAAAGTGAATCGGAATGAAGCACATCACCAGCGCATACACAATCCCTACATTTGCAATAAAAACGTGTTTGTCTTCGGCAGAAAAAAATTACGTCATTTCCCTTCAGCGATCATACGATCATAACAATTAAACTTGGTCAATACAAATTTAAAAGTTGCGAAAAAAAGTTGCGAAAAACAATAGACATGATCATTTACCGATTAAAATGTATTTCCTGTTCTGATAGGCATTGTTTTATATGCAAAGATTAAGATTACCGTGTGTATTTTCTTGTAAACTAAGCCGGAAGTAGCAATCAGCTGTACACACGTTTCTCAGAATCTACCGGTGATTTGGTTAATAATTACCCAATAATATAACTTCAAAGAATTTCGATATAATAATTGAAAGAGTAGAATCTAAAACTATTATTTTATATTATATGATATCCTGTTATTTTAGAAATCTGTATTCTGTATCTGGAAAACGAACACAAATGGACAGTTCTAAATGGAAGTCATACGTTGCGACTGTTCCATACACCCTTTCATTTCTGAGTGTCATTCCATCTTTCTCCAAAGTGGAGTACCATCGAAGAATATTTGTATTCTGTGTGGGTGTTCTTCTGAAAGGATCATAATTTCTAAATCAAGGTGAGAAGGAAATACATCGAAATTGTTTCAGAAAGCATTCTTCATTTAGAATGCAGTCAAAGTGTCGCTCAAGGTTCACCCGGTGAGTCCTTCCATGGAGGATATGTATATCTTCATGCAGAGAGGTTTTGTATGGGAGTAATACATCTGAGTTTAATGAGATTTGCAGAATGTAGATTGAGTCTCCCCATCTGTTCCTGTACTGTTACAGGCACGGCTCGAGAGTACCTGGAACATTATGTCCTCCCCGTGTTACTGCCAGCTCTTGAAGCGATGCTCCGACAGGCCAAAACAGAAAAATGCTTTGAGGTATAATATACAATCAGTGGATAAAAAAGTATTTTAACATGATTAAATATACGTTCTATGAGAGAAGGGGCGGTCCGGTAGCCTAGAGGTTAAAGCGTTCGCTCGTCACGCCGAAGACCCGGGTTCGATTCCCGACATGGGTACAAATTGTGAAGCCCATTTCTGGTGTCCCCTGCCGTAATATTGCTGGAATATTGCTAAAAGCGGCGTAAAACCATACTCACTCACTCACTCTATGAGAGAAGAGTTTATGTGTTATCAAATCTTTGTTGTAGGCTTTGATAAGAAAAGATTATAAACCTGAAAATATTTTGCTCAGTGTACATTCAATTCATTTTGTATGTTAATAGCCGAACCTCTGTTGTAGTTAACATAATGAAGTTCTACAAAGTACCATTATTATTAGGACAATTGATAAAATCAATTGATTTTTATCTTTTTTAATAATGTCATTTCAATGTTTTAATTATATGTACCTCTCTATTGTCTTCTTATGTACGTTTGTCTGTGGGCCAATGGCCTTGAATACCACAGACAGAATTGATTGATAAAACTGATAAACCACAACTGATCATTTTCATTTATTTCTAAATAATTTTATTTGGTCCACAGAGAAAGAGAACCAAATTCAACGCACTGGATTTTATTACCGAGTATTTATACAGGTAAACTTCATACCTTATCTGATGTGATCAGCAATCCAGGTGTTAGATCAAGGACAATTATTGGGATAGTGAGAATATGAAATTCAGTTTGTTTGTCTACAGGTGTCTGTAACATCAAGAAATCAGAAGAAATAATAGCTGAAATGTATTTTGTTGAATAACTTTCATCCTTATAAAATGAAGATATCTGTTGTTGGAATACAAAGGAAATAGGAGAAACAAGTCACTTAATAAATCAACAATTTATTGTTTCCTTGCGTGAAAGGTAACTTGTTTATTTGTGAAGGCGAAATCCCCAGTACACGGACCGAGGAGAAACTGACCTCTGGAGCATCCCATTTGTGCAGGAGTGGCTCAAGGAACAGTGAGTAGTGTAGGCAGCTTCTGGGGCAGGGACATTGTAGCTATGCACTCCTCAGATTTTACCATCCGACATCTACTGGTCGCTAATTCCGAGCTGTGATTCATGTCTTAAGTCTGGTGCTAGCTTTCGCAAGCTCTGTCAGAGTGCAAATTAAGGAATATCATGGACATATTTTGCTTTTGTTCCTTGTGTTCAGGACATTTCATCATCAAAAACCATCTCCCACCATTGATATTATTGTCTATTATGTCTCTCTTTTGCAGTCTATCTTGTTTCACTGTTGCCAGTCCATTATGTCTCTCTGTTGTTGTCCCATCATTTCTTTCTGTTGCCAGTCCATTATGTCTCTCTGTTGTTGTCGGGGTGGTCGAGTAGCCTAGTGGTTAAAGCATTCGCTCGTCACGCCGAAGACCTGGGTTCGAATCCCGACATTGGTACAATGTGTGAAGCCCATTTCTGGTGTCCCCCGCCGTGATATTGCTGGAATATTGCTAAAAGCGGCGTAAAAACTATACTCCCTCACTCACTCACTCTGTTGTTGTCCATTTCTTTCTGTTGCCAGTCCATTATGTCTCTTTTGTTGTCCATCATGTCTCTCTGTTGTAGTCCATCATGTCTCTCTGTTGCCAGTCCATCACGTCTATCATGTCTCTCTGTTGCCAGTCCCCGCCCACCACTGCCCCTGTCTCTCATCTGGACTGAGGAGGAGGCTGCTCTCATTATTCAGTCCTACTGGAGAGGCTATCTGGTAAGTTACTTCGAGAGTAAGGCCACACTTATTATAGTGTTTATGGATTTTCGCAATTACCTTGGGTTGGCCGGAAAAATAAAATAATAAAATTGTTTGTGTACAAAATATGAGCTTATGCTGTTGGACAGGACATTTAGTATTTTTACTTTTATTGTAATTCTGAGAAATTTTTGTTGCAATAACAAGAGATTACATACAATGCATTTGTTCAATTATTAGTATATCAAAAATCGATAGCTACTTCTATCTTGTAAGTCTATGATAAAGTAGCGAGATACTATCATCATGACATTTAGATCACATAGTGCAAGGGAACCTTGATTGGAAAATTCAGTACTGATAATCAACTGGAAAATATCCATCTCCCCGAGGCAAGGGCATCAACTGACAATAAAGTCAAGTTTCTGCCCTTGCCAAACTAGGCTGGACTGACGGAGTTACAATTTGGCTATGCGTATTCCATTCAAAATCGTGTTACGAACTAGACATCCAGTTTGTAAACATCATGGATTTCAATGCGCAGATTTTGGTCTACTGCAGGATTTGCAAAGCATGCGTACCACCAACTGGGCAACAGTAATTTTGCAAATCCTTTCATGTTTTTAATCAAGGTGCTCAAGTGATTTGATACACTTTGTGGGGTAAGACCTGTTTTATAAAAACATAGATGAGATCGTCTTGACTGGGTGTGGCCATTTTGTTTGAAGCAAATGCAAGTAATATGAGAGCCACTATGATTGTGCCTGGAAATTACTGCCTACTTTGGCAAGGGTGGAAACTGGATTTCGATAGTCAGTTAATGCCCTTGCCCCGAGAAGATGGAAAATACTCCGACTTTAACTGAAATAAACTGACTCTCAATGACATCCCCACTGAGCAGTGCATCTTTAGAACATGCACAGCCTTATATTGAATGACCCACCCAGATGTTGCAGATCACCATCTGGCTATTGCTGTCATACAAGGGGACCACCTGTACATTGTGTCTCCATACCAACAGCATGGTTCCATTGAACTCAGTCACAGGTTTGTTGGGCACATACTCATTCAGGCATCTGGGATATTACTGGAATATTCCTGACTATGGCTTAAAACAACCAACAAAACAAAACTTTATCAACACAATGTCTGCTTGTGTCCAGGTTCGTCGGGTTCCAGAAATCCAGGAACTCCGCCAGTGGCAGAAGGAATGGCAGGAGGAGAATCGAGGGATCCAGACCCGTGTCAGCGACTTCTGGGACAAACAGATGCCAGACTGGGACAAACCCACACCCACTACCTCCAAGACCAACATGGAGACTGAGGAGGATCTGCCCCCTGCAGTCCAGTCCCCGACCCCTGCAGCCCAGTCTCCGACCCCTGCAGTCCAGTCCCCGACCCCTGCAGCCCAGTCCCCGACCCCTGCAGCCCAGTCTCCGACCCCCCCACAGTAGAGAGCGGGGTCACCACCATCTTGGTGTTGTATCACCATGTGTTATTTCATTCCATTGCTTCCACTGGATGGTGTGTGATCTGTTCACAAAACATCAATGAAACATTTTAACCAGACTTATTTGTTGGATGGCAGTATCTTCATGGGTACTTGACGGAGACTAATGAATGATGATTATACATTCCCAGTCTTATTGCAGTGATTTCACTGGTGTCAGCTGTAGGTCGGAGCTCTGGCATTCTTCTTAGAGACAGAATATAAGTTTTCTCTGAATGAATAACAAAAGTTTGGGATGGGGTTGCCATACAATTTCTTTCTATGGACATCTGAACATTTGGGTGTATGTAAATTAGGATGCTAAGTAATATGTTTGCACTATTTCTTGAACAAATGATTTTTGGTTCCTTACATTGTATTGAAGAAATATTTTCCATTTGTTTTTTAATTCCTGGAGTGATTCACCATTATAAAGTAAAGCAAATGCTCATAATCCGACAAGTGATGCTACCTCTCTAGGACTATCATTTGGAAACTTTGTTTTAAGTACATATTTTTTTTAAGGACATTTGATGTCTGACTATAGACAGCTGAGACAAACAAGCTCATAAAATAGAAAAGTAAATTACTGTTAATTCATCAACCAATGTATACACAAATAGGTTTATTCATAGAGCCATCTTGGCTGGTTAATATCAGGGCACAGAGTCCTGACGACATTGTTTAAAACCTGACATGACAGTTATATTCTATAGATCCTTTTTGTGAACGAAATACTTATGACTGTTTTGAAGCATCAAAAATCTAATTAAGCTTGTTGTGTTAGGATTGTAAGTTAAAATATTTGTGTATATATGTATATATGTAAATCTGTACTTTTCTGCCATTGTAAATACATTAACGTCTTCAATCTGTAATGTTTCCTGGGAGTTAAAAACACTCCAGTGTTTCAGTGAGAAATAATAAACAAAAACAAAACTTATTTCATTTGTTTATTGCTTTCCTAGATCAATAGATTTTTTTTCAACAAAATGAGAAATTACAAACTGCAAATGACAATTTTCAGTGGTTTTTCTTTATTTCTGTGGTACATGTATTATCATTTACAGGTAACAGGTTTCAAGGAACCTGGTGTGATTCACAAAATGTCAAAATATTTAAGACACATTTCACTATTATCTAATTTAACCTTGCAAAGTCAACAACAACCCTACATTAATTTCCAAAGTAACTTTCAATTCCATGCAGAAACAGCAGTAAATTAGTGTACAAATCACAAAAAAACAGTTCTTAAAAATATTTCCACCCTTTCAGAAAATTCAACAAGCTGTCCAGATTATGAATTTGCCCCTTTTTTACAGCAGTTAAAATATACACTTGTTTTTCATGACCTATTATTGACTGTGGAGAGAGGATTTTTGTTCTTATTTTATTACTTAGTAGTTTAAAGCTGTTCAAGAAAACTTGATTCTAATGTATACTACTCAAAACAAGTTAAAGAACACCCACAACTGGAAGGCTGTGTGTTGCAATACCCACCAGCCATGACAGATTTACTATAGTTAGATGAAACAAATTGGGCGTTCTTCAACCTCTTTTGAGTACTATACAATTTTAATATGACTTTTCTTGGCTATGGTCCTGAAGTTCGAACAGACAAGTCAAGGCCATGCTGGCCATGTCAAGGTACCCCCATGAATCTGACACACAATGAATGGCAGGGAATGTGCAAAAAGTTGGAATCCTATGAAAAAAGGAAATTTGAGTCTAAAAAGTTGTTTCTTGACTGTGATAAAAATGGAGAAAAAAACAACCAACCCAAACCCATTAGGGCGGGGCTAGGTCATGAGAAACAAGAAATTTATCTTAACAACTGTAACATCACATAATACATGATAACCATCTGTACTGTAATCTGGTAGATTTCTGTATCTTTCAAAAGTTTGAACTCAAACTGACTGTTTGTCCCCCTTGCTGTGATTCTGCTATTGACAATGATCTGTAAATGCTGGCTGTAATGTAAAGCCGACATAAATACTGTAAAACCACAAAATTCACCTCAATTTTTCATTTAGTTAATACCCTTTCATCTTGGTTACACTTTATCAAGAGATATTTCATTTCATATCTCACATCGATACATCGCCAGGGACCATGAACTACTTTTTATAGAACTGGTGAAATGCTTCCAATGATGAGATGTTGGTAAAATAGAAATAATCTTGACTATATGCAGCATTTGTGAGAGTGTTGGGTCTGACACGGATGTGAATGATATTTCAGTTACATCATGGCGTGCGTGTCAGCTTAATGTGGGAGGAAAGCTAGAAGGGATGCAGGTCTTAGAGTTTACCACTTTGGGGAAACCACCAGATGGGTATGGTACTGACAAACCCAGAAACATAACCAGGGGGATCTTGGATTAGAAAAATACCTATTTCTGTCAAATGGTTTATACATTTTGAAACAAAACATTCTCACGAAACAGACCTTGTGTAACAGATTTCATTCATTTAATACATGTTTCTGACTCGCCCATTATGGTAACATAGTTGTGGTTCACAACAAGACCAGAAAACTCACTTTGAAAGTTTCAAATTAATTAAGGCCACACGTTTAACTGCCCACCGCCCCTACTGAAAAGCATATGGGAAAAAATAATACAGCATAAAAATATTTATTTCTATTATGTCTCCCACTAGTAAAACAGACCCTCTTTTACAATATGAAATGTTATATATAAATTCCATGTCTGCATCACTATTTATTGTGACTGACCTTGTGTGAAAAAGCTGTAATAACCCAACGAAAGATAACATTAAAAAAGTGTGGCCTGAACAGAAAAAAACGGAAAGAAAAGAAAGGTCATGGCCCTCACAGCTAATGTAGCCATGCTTAACTCCAATGATGAATGCTGGTTTTATTGTTTTACTGCTATGCAGGGTATTATTATGTAAGCAAATATAATTCTACTTCCAGACCCCAAAATGCACCAGATTGCGAAGGACCCACTACATGAGAGAGTTTAACTAAAGGATGTAGCTATTCACATGAATTTAAGTACTGTATGAAACTGAGCATAGCACAATTGCATGATAGAAACAGATCAACATCCAACTTATAACAAGCACAAGCAAAACAGTGATTAAACATCAAAAACATTTCATTTGTGCATATCACAAACAATAAACAATTACTTGCAATGATATTTTACTTGTTTGCTGATAAAAGTACATTAGCAACAAAAACAAGCACATTGGAAAATCTTCTCACAGTCACTTGTTTGGTTTGATGAACTGCAAATATACACCAGGAAGTTAAAGTTATCAACTTGCTATTTCGTGGCGTACTGAGATCAAGTAACTATACGTTAACAAAACATGAAGTGTTTTTTTACTTACTTGGTTTACAGAGAGCCGAAAGGAGGCACATCAGTGATGCTTGTATCATCTACGCTTCACTCTCGAACACAACTACAACTCTGACAACCCAAGCAGCATCATAAGGTCTATCAGAGATTTTATCTGTACTTGCTGTATTAAGCTGCAAGTATTCTATGAGCACCCCTCAGGGCGGTCGGGTAGTCTAGTGGTTAAAGTGTTCGCTCATCACACCGAAGACCCGGGTTCGATTCCTGACGTACGTACAATGTGTGAAGCCCATTTCTGGTGTCCCCCGCCGTGATATTGCTGGAATATTGCTAAAAGCGGCGTAAATCCAAGCTCACTCACTCCACCTTGAACACCCCTACTAAGACAGATAATATAAATGACAGTCCATATTTTCTTGCTTATATTGCAGGTTTGTTTTAAAGAAAACACAGCACTGTAGAATGTGTTGTTAACAACATACAACACTATTACACCTACAGCCTGACAGTCGGAACATAATTGTGTCTGGACCCAACACGTGGGTGATAGCATGAGTAACAAGGACTACAATCATTCTGGATGTACAAAACCACCCGATCTCAACATCTGTCCTCATCATGAAACGTTTCATCCATATCCAAAGCACTAGTCAACAATGTTGTGAAATGAAAAAATACATGTCAACAGAATATCTAATGGAATGAAGTAAATGAGATGAAAGAACAGAGATCTGACCTTCCGCTGGAATAATGACTACCTCCCATGGACGGATGACAACCTCCCATGGACGAATGACAACCTCCCATGGACGAATGACAACCTCCCAAGGACGAATGACAACCTCCCATGGACGAATGACAACCTCCCATGGACGAATGACAAACCCCCAAGGACGAATGACAACCTCCCATGGACGAATGACAACCTCCCATGGACGAATGACAACCTCCCATGGACGAATGACAACCTCCCAAGGACGAATGACAACCTCCCATGGACGAATGACAACCTCCCATGGACGAATGACAACCTCCCATGGACAAATGATAACCTCCCATGGACGAATGATAACCTGATGCCAGAATCAGTTCAGAAAAGTCCACCATGTGACAGATATAGCCCTCAACTGGTATTCTCATTGAAACATCAGACAGATTACATCTTTTGGATTAAGAATAATCTGGTTTTCATATTAACAAGTAGGTCTCATCAACAAAACATCCCTTCTTAATGGAATTTGGATGTCAACAGTAACAATTTACTGTTTACATTATAGTTGTTAAAAAATCATGAACAGGTGTTTGAACTTCAGGGACGGAGCAAGCACCAGAATGGGATGACTGGCATTTAAAACACAACATCCATCTGACACCTTGATTAGACAACCCTGTACTCCAAGAGTGCTCCAGATCACTTGGCATCAGTGTCCCCTGAACAGAGCGTTATGTTTGCATACAATGGTAGATATCCATTTCCTGATTAGTAAAGAGTTATTCACAAATATCGCATGTTTATTCTGATAACGCAACATTTCCTACATAGACACTTTACTTTTAATTTCATGAACATTTTCATATTTATGCATTTAGCAGCATTGTGAGTCATGCAATCTTATTAAAATCCGATATATAACTCCCATTGATAATTCAAAGCAGAAAGATGTGACAAACCCTCCCTCCATCAGAGTTGACATCAGGTGAACATTCCAAATAGCCAATGAGCATGAATTCTCTGTACGAGCGAGTGGAGATCTTGGTACAGCATGTTTGATATTTGCATCTTGAAACAAACATTTTCCAAATGTAAAATAACACAGGTAATATTTTATACTACTCAAAAGAAGTTAAAGAACATCTGATTTTTTCATGATTATTCTTAATCTGTAATGTCATGACATTAACTACAGCCATATGAAGAAATCGGGTGTTCTTCAATTTCTTTTAAGTAGTATAAGATGCAGATATTTTACACACCCTTTCATTTGAAAGCACCATGGCATCTGTACCCAGAAGGGTGTATTATTGAATGAATATTGGTCTTATGCGTTGGTTTTCTTACACATCAACATTTCACAATTTTTGTTTGTTGTTAAGCGCCCCAATCAGCAATACTTCAGCTATATGACAGCGGTCTGTAAAAAATCAAGTCTGGACCAGACAATCCAATGATTGACATCACGAGCATCGATCATGCAATTGGGATATGACTACATGCAACAACCATATCAGCGAGTCTGACCACCCTTTCCCGTTAGTCACCTCCTACGACAAGCATGGTCGCCTTTTTCAGGAAGCATGGGTTGCTGAAGACATATTCTAACCCAGATCTCTATCTTCACTTTTCAAATGAAGGTGGTGAAGAAATAAAACTGAATCGTCTTTGATCCGACATCTGAATGGCTCAAGTATTCACAGAAACTTCCATCAAGCTTGGATGGTCAAACCTTCGTTCAGGGTTCACTTGAAGCAATGCTGTAAGATTTGTCAGATCTTTACGAGATTTGTATTGGAGTAAAAGATCTGATATTAAGATTGTGGTCACTGTTGTGCAGATCTGTAAATATGCAACTGGTACTACAACTATGTTGGAGAGGTCTTCAAATAGGCACAAT